ATTCTTTCTGCGAAGATTTAGTGATTTTTACTATGCATATGTACAAAACATATACCTACATGGATGTAGGCATTTATTAGGCAACAGTTAACTTGCAATGTAGTGGAAAGACATAGTCTTAGTCCAAGTTGTTCTTCAGAAAATATCGCATTAATTCGTAAATGTATAACAAAAGACTTGACAACGTCAATTTCAGGACGTTCACAGCAAGTAAGTCTTTCAGAGATTACCAAATTGCGAATTACAAGGAGGGATTTATCCTTAAGATTGTATAAAATCCAAATGGCTTGAGAACTGAAGCCTATGTACAATAACTTTGTCACAAAAATATTTGTCAGGTCATGCAATTTCAAGGAACGGTGATGTCAATTGAGCATCGAGATCCTGCGATCTGACACCGTTGGACTTTTTCCTTTGGGGCTACGCGAAAGGGAAGGTGTCGTGAATCATCCGTGAACAATTGAACAGCTCAAAGACGTGATCCGAAGTGGCATAAAAGCATTGAGTTGCAATTATGCGAAAATGTTATAGAAAATTTTGATAAAAAAATGTTTGCCTGCAGAAAAACTCGTGGTGAACATTTATCATATATTGACTTCCATACATAATTCTCATTATTTCTAATAAATTCAAAATTTTCTAATAAATTCGGTATTTCATATAATAATAAAATCCTGTCTTAATGAAAGACTTTTTATATGTAGTTTCATTGGTAAACGAAATGGAGCCTCGTAAACGGTACAGATAGAATGATGACCACTGTTAAATAATTCTCATTCGTAAAAGTGTAACGAAACAAATTCAATACACGTCTAGATTGTTCCTAAACAATGATCGCTAAGCGCACATTTATTCGACCTAACATTCACGGTTTGTCTCAAAAGTTTGTGAACTGAAATTAAAACAGCAGTTTTCCGTAAAATAATAATGCTCTTCATCATCAACTATTAAAAAAAGTTTTCTTTTGAAGACTGTTCGCAGTAATTACAAAAACTCTGGAAATAACACTGATATTTCTTCTTCAAAATGGTGGAACGAACAACGATCGAAACTTTTGGCTTCACGGAACGTTTTGGTCATAAAACTTATTTCACAGTTTGATTATTCACCGGGTTCGTCCAATTCAGCTACATCAAACTAATTCCCGTTACGCGAATTAGAAAGGAAGACAAAGAAACGAAAATCCAAAATCATTTTGACATTCGCAGAGCTTCGACGACTGCTTTCTCGGCCATCTTGAAAAAGAATTACCAGAACTATTTCCAGTGTTTGCATAATTATCATGAAGAATATATCACTTGAGAAAGAAACTACTTTCATAAAAAGCATAAATATCGTACGAGAAATGACTGTTCTAACTTCAATTCGGACACATTCGGTACAAACCGTGTATTTTCCTACCCAAGGCTGTCCAGGTGAACAGCACTGTAACTGTAAAGCCTTAGTACTGACCGGGTGCAAGCAGCACACCGTGTATATCAAGTCTCGTATAGTACATGGTTCAAGGTCGGCCACTATACGCCGAAGACGATAACCATGATGTGCGCGCGTAGGAGCATTCACCCTTTGGAACTCGCTGGCTATAATAACTACGCTCGTCCCAGGTGCAACGGAGAGGTCCGGCGGATCTTCTACAAACCCATCCTCAACCGAAGCGCGCTCGTGCCCAACACCGATCGAGGAGGATCTTCTTCGACGAAGCCGATCGATCCTCGATCTTTTTCTTCATTTTACGCCGAGCAAACTTCGCTGGCAATATAGCCATAGACCGCTTGCTCGAATAAGTTCATTTAAAGCTCATTTCTGATTCATTTGTATTAAGTTGTTAACTAAGTTTCACTGCCAGCTCGTAGGACACACGGAATTTATATCTCGCGCCGATTTTCTGTTGTTTTTCAAAAATTAGGGCCATGCTTCTGTAACGAAATATGTCGACAGAGGTGCAATCCTGTAGCCAAGGAACATTTGTTGAGTATTATATCCGTTTTTGTAGTTTGTTGTTTTGTAATTTGAAGGAAACGGCAGCAGAAACATAACAATTTATCGAAGAAGTCTATGGTAATCAGTGGTGTTTTATCTTCTAGACACATGCGAGAGATGGTTTCGTCGATTCAAAAATAGCAATTTCGGCTCGAGAGACAAAAAACGCAGGTTGCACGACCAGAAGGAATAAAAACTGATGATTTGGAGGTGTTGTTGAAAAAACCGCGGTCTAATCAACTAATGAACTTGCATACCAACTTAGACTTGTTGAATGAAAATTTAAAAAAATTTTAACTGCAATCAATGCTTTACGGTAAAACAACCACAGAAATTAGTTAACGATTTAATCGAAATACATAACTTCGCGTCCATTTCTAATTCCTACTATATTCGTTACAATTTGTACACGCCTATAGTCAGGTCACCAACGACCCGCCAACAAACACAGTTACTGAATTCCTTGTACGTGTCTTGTTGTGGGTCACAATCAACCCGGCCACCGGCATCGATTGTCTATAGGTACCAGGGTTTCCCAAACTTTTTCTGCAATGGAACACTTAGCTTATTTTTTAGGTTGGGTAATTCCTACTAGCAAAAATTTTTTTAAAATGTTATTAAAACACATTATTTATTTAGTAATTATTTTTAAATATAAAACAATAATATTATATAAACATAAAAATATGAATAAATAAAGCACTTAATGACTTTGATAATAAAACCTTTCCAAATTGTCACTGAACACCTATTCAGGTTCAGCGGAACACAGTTTGGGAAACCCTGGTCTGTACTGTTGAGGTTGGTTGACATAGGAAGTCCCCTAATATATGGCGCCAGTTGCAAAGAGAAATTCTACAAAATACCATTTGCTTTGGGTACTTCGATCCAAAGTAAAAATAGCCTTCTGTTTGGAAAGAAGAAATTATATATGAAATCTTTGTGGAATCATTGAAAGTAATTTCGTTTAAATGAGAAAATTAAAGTTAGATGAAGTCTTATTTTTCTCTTTTATTATTTCTAGCTGATTATTTATTTGAAGTAAAAACTCGTACCGACACTGATGCAAATGCAATTGAAAAGTTGTATTAATCAGAGCAAGGAATTAAGAACACGTGTAGAAAATGAAGGAATTGCGGGAAAGATCAGATAGTTGGATTGAAAATGTTTTATGAATGCACAATCAGACTGGACGGTGTAATTCGACTGGTCGTTTCTAAACCGTATAATTGCACTGATAGAGGAAAGTTTTGAAAATATTCACAACACACGGTACACTTTACTATATTATTTACACAGTGTAAGTAATCAATATTTAATGAATAATAAATATATTAACAATAAATAAATAATAAGTATATATTATTTATATCATGTAAACAATAGTTATATGATGATCATATAATAATATTAAATATTATTATTTATATCTGTTATATATTATTTACTGTCTCATCGATGTACAGACGTCTAAAAAAATTTGTTTATTTACGTAATTTTATGAGATCAATCTAGTTCAGTTCTTAACGTGTTAGTGTACGATGACTGATGGACGGGAGTTGTAGCTGCAATAATTGCACTGGACAAAGATGATAATGGATTGTACATCATACAATGTTCGTTAAGCGAAAACCGGAAGGAAATTTCCTTTCTTATAAAACAATTGCTAAATCACGATACAAAACTTTATAAATTACACAGAAGATTATGATCTCCCACCATTTCAAGTAATGTTTCATCTTCTATTTTTCGAAGTAAGCTTCAAAATCTATCACATCTCAAATCAGTACATAACACAAACGAGAAGTTACATATAAGAGTTTCTCAATAAACTAATCAATAAACTTGTTGCAAACGTGTAGTACGAAAACGAGCTTCTTGTAGCAGAGAAAGCCGCAGTAGCTTATCTTGTATGATGAAAAAACATATTTGGATAAAAGTGCTTGACAAATTGTATGAAGAAACATATTTTGGATAAAAGTGCTTGAACATTCATATTTTCGGTGTAACTCGATTGATTTAATTGATGCTTCGTTCATCCATTTGAGAAATATCTTTTAAGAACGACAGTAGGACGAATGAATTTCCACCGAAGCAACAAAATGTTTCGCAGAGAAATGTTTCCAGTTTGGTTCTGCGTCGTTCTTTGATCTCACCGCTACTTCACGGTAACACGTGTCAAGATGTTTGTTTCTGCTTTCATGGACAATAAACAACATTCGGATTCATACTGGAACGTTTACTTAAATAAGAACCATGAACTAAAATATTCCTATTTGTTTATTTAATGGAGACGTAGCATTAAAATACCTTTCGCGTAATTCTGATGTCAGAAAGAATAATTCAAAGAACTGTTCTCATTTAACATTGATTTGTAAAACTGCTGCTTATTATTTACGTAAATATGTTAAAATACAGAGAAATTATGAAACAAGAAAGTTCTTAATTTTCCTGTAACAAATCAAGGTTTAGTTATTTCTGATCCTTATTAATAATTTTATTTTGCCCAACATATCACAAACACGTTATAATAATAGTAAAAATGGAAGCTGAAATCGGACGATGTAGCATCAATACCACATTTCCCTATTTACTTGGTCAATCACTACACCCACCACTAGATCGGCAAAAATCCGTTCTTAATAAACCTGTTGAGTACCACAATTCATAGCCAAATATAAAAAAAACACACTTCACTCGATCTGTCAGACAGATCTCACCGACAAAAATGTTGACTCTTATACTGCTACATGATTCATCATTCTACTGGAATCAATCGATGACTACCATATAAAGAGATCTCGAGAAATTGTCGCATTTACTCATAATTTTAATAATAAAAAAACTACTCGTTATCACATTATGAAAAAGGCAGATCTATGTCTTGGTTTGCATAATTGTATACGTACAATCTCGTCCTTATGTTTCTCGAGACCGTAAAAACAAGGATACGATCGGTCGGTCGGTGGGAAAATATGTTACGGAGAAAATAATTTCGATGTCGTATGAAAATTACTCACTCATATTTGCGGCGGTTCGTTTAGAGCCAGTTTGAACCCATGACGCGTTCCAGTTACGAAATTCGATCCCAGCTCGGAGGAACAGAGATCACGGGTTTAGAGGCGCGAGAAAAAGCGTTGGAAACGGGTCCCCCCGTCCGTTTGTTCCACGAAATCGTTCGGATTCGTGTACCGAAGGTGCGCGAGCGAGGAATGAGAGACGGCAACAACAACTATGGTTCGCCGTCGTCGACGTGTTTTACGCGACGAAATATCCACAACGAGTGTTTTCAAGGAGATCGATAGAAGTCGACGGCACCTTCGAAACTGGGAACGGGAACCGTTAACTTGGTCTCGGTCGCATCGGCATCACGGACTCGGACTAGACTGCAAGAATTCGCTGGCGTTCGACCCCCTCTAGAATCCTGTCCCGTCTCGTGCGGTCTCCCGTACCGGTACATGCCGTGGTAGGGCGAAGACGGACAGAACACGACTTCGGAAACGAGTCCCCTGGAGTCCCCTCGATCGTTTCATCGACCGTGAACTATCGAACCAGTGTCCCGATTTTTCAGACAGATTCGACAGGTCCTGGCTACAATGCGCCTCGTAGTAAATCTGTTTAAAAGTTCTCATTTTTTTTAGCGAAATGTATGTATTGTTGAAGGACTTAATTTTCTATCATGGGTAGTTTATTAATATCTTTAAGCGTCGAATTATTTAAACGTAGAAGTACTTAACCTACAATTCTCCTGCAAGCTCGTAAGATGATTGTGCAGAAGTTTCGTCCAGTATTACGTAGAATTGTTTGTTTGAATTTTCAAAGCCCGGTGGAAACATTGTTATGTAGTTATTAACGTCCGGACCACCACTTTTGAATTGTTTAAAGCAGTTTTTCAGTCACGAGGAGATGGAAGAACCTCGATCGAGTTTGTCTTATCGAAATCTCGATCGAATTCGTCTTATACGCGTTCGACATCCTTCGATTCCTGGCGCACGATGAAAAAACTTTAAAAGGGTGCTCAGTACATGGATTTTTCTTCTTTCTTTTAAGAAATAAGGCGAAAACGTTTGGTGTTCACGACACGTGCATGAGTGTTCTACAATGTAGAAGATGATTTTTCGATTTACTTGATCACCAAACATACTCCTTATTGGTACTGGTTAAGACCACATTGACTGTGTAAGTTCAAAAAGTACCGTCCTTCAAGGAATTTATTTTGCAGTTACTCGGTAAGAATAGATAGTTGAAAAATTCACAAGAATTTTTCTGTGATTCCGTACCTGAGAACAATATGACGGTCGAGAAATTTCCAAATAAACAGATTCCTGAAATCAAATTCTATTAATGGAATGTTAACTAATTGCCTATCGACTGATAGCATTGTGCTTTTTATTAAAAACCAAAATGACCACGTTCTGAGTAATAAGTTTATATTTTACACGAAGAAAGACAATTTTATTTATTCATAAGTTAAGAAAAAATTGAAGTGTTGAAAAAATTCAGCTTCGTGTATATTGTACTAAAATTTCATATTATATTAACAGATTAACACAATCTTAAATACATTATAGATATTTTAATTATTACATATGTTTGCTATCATTTTAACACGGAAACTGATAAATTCGAAAAATATACGAAACTATTAATAATTTTGACAAACCGTTACCTTTAAGGAACTATTATAAGAAAACATTCGAAATAAAAATAATAAAATACAAATGAATTAAAAAATTTTCTGTTATATAGTTCCTATTAACACTTAAGTAACTGACAAAGTTGGGTTCGATTACTTATTTTCCTTCGACTGAGACAGATATACTTCGTTACTATAATTTAATGTTTCCCGATGTTATAAATTTTCCATTTTCGACACTTAAGGTTCCTATGGCCGGATTATCGGCGACCCATCAATGAACACAGTCACCGAACTATTTGTGCACCGATGAAACAAATATCATCTTATATGTGTGCGTGCCTGTGGTATCTTATTATGGGTCACGATCAACTCACCCGCTAGCTTTGTCGGTCCATAACTCCGAGTGTTAAGCGTTGTGAATGCCAAACTCCAATCTAAACTATTTAGCTTATACGGTATACAGTACCACGTATAAATATTCGAAACCCTGGATTGTTTTTGGAAAACACAAAAAACTTTCTGTTCATTATACTACCGGTCGTTTCTTTCTTGTTGACGATATTCCACACACTGGTCTTCGATATCTTTCGTTTAGTTGCAATATCACCGACCGAATAGCCTTCACCACGAAGACTACACATTACAGAATGTTTATCAGTTGAAATCTCTGCAACTTTCGGAATTCTCAACACGTTAGGGCGAATGATGTTTCGCCAAGGGACGATTATTAAGAAAAAGGTGAATTTCATATTTATAAGACTCATGATAAGGACGTGGTTCTCAAAAAAGATTAAAATGAAAAATATTTCTCTAGTACATTATGGTTAATGAATACGAAATTAGAGGAAAACCCAAATTGTTCATAATAATCACAAGACGGTCTACTGATGGCACATTAAGATTCTTGTTTTATTATACATTTATGACAAGCCGCTGACAAAAACGATGGGCCTTGTTCTTTAAATAATACATACCATCGGCTAACAGCTACAAAATATATACCTGAGTCTAAACATTCTCATAAACTCCAAGAGTCATATCATTCGAATAATTGTGAGCGGTACTGTATGTGTAGAAATAGTAGTAAAATAGAGAAACGAAACTTTAATAAATATAAGATGGGTACCGTGTGAAAAATATTTAAATGATCTCCGCATAGAAAATATTCAAGGGGGAAGGGTTAAGCACCATGAAGATGTACAACGCGTGATCAACCTGAAAGTGCGTTTTCGACTCCAACTTCAGCAAACTCTGAAATAAGTTCGAAAGCAAAGTTAAATATAAAATGTGGTACAAATAACGGATTTTCCTGTTCGATCATTCAAGGATACTTGTTCCTCGGTTGTTGAACTATTAACGTTAATTACACAAAAACATTCCTAAATCCACAGAACTTCAAACTGTCCAGAGATTTGTGTTCGCGACTAATTCAGTCTTTCATTTATTTCCAGAGTCGGTCCAGGTTTTCCAGATTCCGTACGGACTTGCATACTGCATCAAAAACTTCAGGTATAATTTTAGTACTCGTTGAAGAACGATTTCATTGTCCCCCACCTCTCACTCCAATGCTTTCGATATTCATTCGACATTTATTCTTCTCGCAGATGATGAACTGCTGCATCGAGAAGAAAAAGACTAGAGAAGAATCAGCGCATAAATTCCACAGCATGGACACCGAGGACTTCGAGACAGGTGAGTTTATTTGATCGTAATCACGTGAAGTGTATCCGGATCGTTGGTACATATATCAATCTAACCGTTGGCTCTCGGCGCTGTACTGACTTTCCTTTGGCTCCGGGCAGAGTCGGAAGAAGAAGAGTTTTTCGAGTGCACCAGCGAGGAACCAGCAAACGAGGACGTCTCGGCGACAAGGACGCAATTGAAAGCGAGGTATCCGTTGTGGAATAAGCCCGCAGGAAGATTGGCCAAACATCCTTCGCTCAAGTAAATATCTACGAAATCATCGGTTTCTAGTACGTTTTTCGAAGTCCTGTCTCATGGAAACTCGTCTGGTCACGGTTTTATTTTATTTTTTCAGATTAATCCAAACCGGAGAACCTCTTTATTTGCCGATAACACAGGATCCGGTCCCGAAGACCGAGGATCAGCTCGAGGAAGACGCACAGGTGATGATGCAGCTTGGAACCGACAAACAAGCATCGGAAATGCGAGCCAGATTGATGAGCGCGTCCCTCTTGTCAGACATGGAATCGTTCAAGGTCTTTATATTTCAAATGACTATGTAGACTGTGGATATGTATGCAAAGGACGATGACTTCACTTTCTGATCGATTTGAGAGCAAAGTGGATGTTTTTAATGGGCGTGCATCTGCACTGTTCAAGCCAAGAAGCATAACAACAGGGTATCCATTATAATCATAATACAACAGAGAGGCAGTCAGTTTTACATGCAAAATCGAACAAACGAAATATCTCTCAAGTCCATTTTTATAACATGGTCCTACCTCGTTTATAGATTAAAAATTGTACCATTCGATTAATTATAAACAAGAGTTATTCATACAGTGTGTAGAAATTACTCCTTCTTGAGTCCAGCATGCACTTCAAGACTGAACAATTTCTATCGCAAAAGGGTCACATTATGCATAAAACAAATATTGTGTTAAAGTAAAATTACATAATTTCTTTTAGTACGATATCCACAGTTACAGATACTATAATTATCATTATTGGCAAAGATATTCAATATTCTTTTACAACTGCAGGCGGCGAATCCTGGAGCAGTGTTGGAAGACTTCATTCGATGGTATTCTCCAAGAGATTGGGTCGAAGACGATGGAATGGACGAGTGGAGCCAACCTACAGGTTTTCTTATTATTGCCCTTGTAATCTAAAATATGCAACCTATGAAATGCCCGTGTTACGAAAATCTAATGATAAAATCATTCAATGCAGGGCATTTATCCGCAAGAATGTTGATACCCAACAACCCATGGACCACGTCTTGGAGTTCAGCGCAGCCTGTCCCCGCGCATCAACAGAAAAGGCTGTTCGACGATACTAAAGAAGCGGAAAAAGCGTTGCATTACCTAAGCTCGAAGCGGATAGGTCAAGTCGCACAGCATCTTCTGCCAGTACTGACTCACGCGGCACTGTATACCCTCAGTCAACAGAAACAAGACGCTCTGCCGAACCTGCCTGACGTTACGCACAGCATACTCAATAAACTGCAATACGCTACGAAACCTATTCATCAGAAGATACATATATACGAGGTAAATCCTACGAACGAATAATTCATAATTCATTATACGTAGCTGGCTCAAAACGTTCTCGAAATTCCTTTATTCTATAGAGACGAATAAGACTATCATTATTTACACTGTATTTCCTTCATTTGTGGGCAGAGATACATTAAGAATTGTTATAGTGGGTATTCAAGGATGACGGAAGTAATAGTTTTTCACTCCTGAACAAGAAATTAAAAACAATGCATCATTTACTGTCAGTAAAGCGAAAGCGTGCGATCCTTTTGTACGAACGTTCTAAGCCTCGTGTTGCATAAATGACTTCATATGATTTATTATATTCTTCTCTAACAAAATTTACATTTAATCTGAAATTTATGTAACTTTTTTGGAAATGAATAGCGCAGAAATAATACAGCTATCAAATACGCACTACGGAAATTGGTTTTATCGGAAAACACCTACGTTCACCATGAATGCATAAATTACCTAATTAATTTTTTATAAACATATATATAAAACAACGATGACAATCTTGGTAAAATTAATATAATCAATGATAACCATTCCTGTCGTTTAAAGTTTATCATTTAGAACGACGGTTTCATATGCATCAACTTAATTGATACTTCTCCCTTAGATCCCGTTGGAAGTGTATTTAGGAGACATAATTATTACGATTAATTAAGACTTTTTTCTGAATAAATCAATTATAAAAAACTATTTCTATCGTGTAAATGAAATTTTATAAATTAAATCTAAACTTTTTTCATTGTTTTTGTCTTCTTTGTCACATGTAATGAGACACCCTTATGTACATAAACATACATATAATTATACAAAGAAACTATTGTGAAGGAAATATAGTGTACGAACATTAATGTTATTCATTTATGCACAACAAAGAAATTCAAAAGACTATTTCAACTTACAAGTCAGTATAGCTGTGTGACACTCAAAGCTGAAAAAGATTTTGGTTTACTAGGAAATTACTCGGGATATAGAAGGTGTGGAGACTTTAGTCGCTCAAGTGAATTCCCTGCAACACAAACTAGGAGGCAACGATGATTCCAAAGAATTTACTTCGTTCCTTGTTCAGCTGATGCGAGGAAAGGAAGTGGAGGTGCCAGGTGGCTCTAGAGGAAACATAGCCTCTCGGATAACCACCATGTTCAGAGAGGCTCAAAAGGTGACAGAATCTTCCAGTTTCGATTCAAGAGTTTATTCGAAGTAACGACCGATTTAATACACTCGCGTGTTCTAGGCTGCACTTTCAATGACTTCCGTGAACAGCAACATGGAAATAGATGGTGTCGGGGACGGTAAATTAAAAACATTTCCCGAGCCTTCATGCAAAGAGTTCATTTTACGGATTGTGACGCCGAGACCGTCACCCACCTCGACACCGCAACCGCAGAGGATGTACGCGTGCCTCAAACGAGATTATATCCGGCTGGCCGGCTTCTTCTCAGAGGATACAATATTTGTATAGTTTACGCGTTTTAATGTTCACTTCGCGCAATGCAGATCAACGCAGTATCCGAAATTTTTTTTTGTATTTTTCATTTTTTAATCTTCACCGCAACGAGTTGAATTTGTACATATGAAACGGAGGGAGGTACTGTTAAATGTAATAAATAGACTGCTGATGCTTATGGGAATTTACAATTTCATGGACTATTTCACAAGCACTGGTCAGAAAAATGTATCCTTTCTTTCTCAAAGAATATTCGTTTTATTCATTAACTCGCTCTATGCCAGACCTTTGTGCATCATTTTCTATAAGAAGTGTTTATAAATTACAAATACATATAACTCGGCAGAATTAATCAATATTAATCAAAGGTTTGTTGTGTACTACCAATGATCAGCTGGAGACAGAATATGTTAAGGGATTTATTAAATTAAGAATAAAATGAAAAATTCATCAATGCTCGATTAATATTCTTATTTCAATGTATTCTGCACATTCTGATAATGTATAATATCAGCAGACTAGTTAAAAATCATAAACAGCAACAAACTCTGCGTGAACATGTATAAAGCAAACTTGGTTTTTTCTGTATTTACTTATGCATCTTACTGTTGTATATTAACGAAGAAGTATTGGATATAAATATTCTTTATAGAAAATAAATCGTTACAAATGTTAAGAAAACACGCAACTGTAAGACAATTTTTCTAAGACAGCTAAATCGTGGTTATGAACCATCCAATAGAAATATACGTTTTTCGAGTTTTGGCGGCGAAAACAGGAAATCTCGTACAATTTGATCTAATTCTTCGAGAGACTGCTGAGCGTGCAGGCACAGCACTGGATCCTCGTCATTATCCCGTAAGTATTTCAAGCCACGATATAGATCAACTAAATCTTTTCCAAGACTAGTTAATGTGTCCTTTCCAAGACCGCGAAGCAGCAACGTACTCACCATAACCGCAGCTCGTCGGCATTCAGGAGCTTTGTCGGTTTTTATTATGCAGCTGATACAATAAATTACCTAAAAATCACATGTTGATATCACATTTACATTTAACATACTTTCAACAAGGTAACACAATGGTATCAGACCATTCTGTGAGTAATGCTGCTTCTCTTCTTACTTTAAATAATCAAATAATTTTTTGGGGAAACGATCCAAAAAAAGACTGCGAAATAAAACCTACTAATAGAGAGGCATAATTTATATATGAACAATTAAAAATAGTTGCAAATATTTTTTTAAATTCCAAATTGATCTTAAATACGGCATTACTTATGAAATGAATAGATGAATGACAAATATACCTCGATAAGGATATCTCCCAGTCGAAAGCCCAGTACCTTACACAATTCACCTAAACACGAAAGACTAGAAGCACGCACCAATGAATCTGAATCTCGTGTGGCACAGAGAAATCCGTTCACTAAAATATTTTTGTATGCAGCTGCGATTTCACCTATTAATTTATAAAAATGAATTAAAATTAAAAGATAAAGAGAAATGAATTCCATATATTGAAATGATTAAAAAGAATTGTTTTAAGCACTTTGCAAAACTGAAGTGAAAATATCTGAACACTGAATAGCCCCATAGAAGATTTATCAAACTGCGCGCTCAAAACAGTTGTGCACGTGATAGTGAAGTTAAAAATTTAATCGTACAAATCTATTCAATCATTGGATGCCTACCTAAACTTCGTGTTACTTTGACAAGTATTTCACCAAGTTTGGCTCTCGTTTCTACAGTAATATCTCCAATTGATACGCGTTGTGGCATGTCTATATACTCATGTACCAATGTTTCTATAACTACTTGTGGATATGAAGTGGCTAAAGCGCACAATCCGTTGATTGCTGTCAAGTATATAAACGAGTCTTCGTGTTTCAAATTTTCCTATAACAGAGGACATGTAGAATAAAAAAACATCTGTATTAGAAAAATTTGAAATTACATATGTCAATTGCATTTACCAACTTTAAATATTTGCAGGATAATAGATTTTCTGGCTGTACCGTATGGATCCATATTTTCTATTAACTTTGTAAGAACTATAAGACCATGAGCGCGTACAGGTAGCAATGGATCCGCAAGATCTTTAAGTGCTTCTTCAAACTTTGTAGACACCCTATGATCCACCGACAGATCTCTATAATGTTTCCGTTCTGATCGATCTTGTGTTTCAATGAGATCAATAAGTTCCCTCATTAAGAGCAGTAATTGTTCTGGAATTTCTGAACGAGTGCAACGTTCCTTCAGAAATATTACAAAATCATTAAACGCTGGCCAATTTAAAGGCTTCTTTCTTTCGCTCAAAATCATTTTGATTAGCATTAAACTGACATAAAGAATTTCACAGTCATCTTCTTCAGACGACATTTGCGTTTTTGTAATGTATTCGTCAAATAATGATTTTACGAACGAAAATATTGGCTCAGGGTGTTCTATTTGCGCGTCTTGTACAGACGATATATTAGCTAAATTTGACAAAAGTTTTACGGTCGCTAACCGTTTTTCAATTCTTTCCATCACTTCGCTTTCAGTTTCTAATAAGTTTCGAGTTTCTTCTTTGTTATCTGATTTTATTGAATTTGATAAAAATTGTAGTAAATAAGAAAATAAAGCGGTCGATAATGCATTGGTACTTGATGTTAAGTCGAACAGACTGTCTGCAAACTGCTCATAATTAAAAGTATCGTCTATTCCAGTAATTTCAATTCCACCGGTCGGTCCGAATTTTGATAGCAAATAATGACCAAAATTTTCACTTATTTCATGTCCAAGGAACGCTGCAAACAGCTTGTTCCTCAATGATTCGTCATGCAAGAGCCTCAATATGAGCTGCTTGATTTTAGGTTTCAACACACATGCGCTAAGCCTAACATTTTTGTACAAGCAAAACAATGGAACTGCCGTTTTCGTAAAGACCTCGCAAGGTAAATGTTTAAATTTTGCTTCTACTGTTATGAAACATTTTGTCAAATTTTCTATGCATTTCTCCACTTCGTTTTCATTTTTAATCACACCTGGCTTGTCTCTTAAATACAAAAGCAAAGGGTCACATATTTTTTCTGTAATATGTTTAAGACAAACTTCGGGATTGTATTCATAAAGCGCGACAATGCAGCCATTTGCTATCGTTGACGAGTGTTTTATCTGTCTGCATGATAAGAGATCTAATACCTGAAACAAATGCACAGTATATTTCAGTTTTACGCGTATTCATATAATTACTACGAGTTACTAACAAATGCTTGTATAATGTACTTGTGGACATATAGCTTTGTAATATTCATCAGGATTGTTGCCATGCGATGTAGCTATTAACCTCGTAACAGTATCCAGTTTATTCCAATGTTCTCCAAGATCCAAAGTATCTTCACAAACAGCAATTATGATTGAAATAATTCCATTTGATCGCATTAACTGTTGGATTAAAAATTTACGGGTTTCTCTTTGAAGCCACTTCGGCGCTCCTTTAATACCAAGAATTACCATCAATTCTTTCATACTCGCAGACATTGGACAATTATTTAATAACTGATGCAATAAACAAACAAACTGTTCCTGGTCATTTTTTAATTTTCCATATAAATCTGTTGTCATTTTAAATGCACTGTCATTTTCACTTGTATTATTTGGTTTGATTAATGGAGCATGTCCTAATTGTAAAAGTGCAGCTAGTAATGGACCTAGTTGATTAATTATTGCTGGACGAAATATAGTTTCATTGTATAAATCCATAAGAGACAATACTGTAAATGTTTGTCTTTTGTATTTCTGAAATATAAGAAAAAGTTATATCCAGTTAAAGTTATGAATGTTATTAATAGAGTTAATACATGTTATATACCAGTGGTGGCCAAATCTTATCAAGATAGGAACCACATGTCGCCTATCAGAAATACTCTAGAGCCGCATCCTCTATTGAAACGGTATTAAATTGTGAGTTACGTTTACAATCTGTGTGTATATCACACTGCATAATAAAGTCAGCAAACTTACAAAAATATCATATTACATACGTATATGTTATATGTGTCAAGTTTACACAAAAATATTGTATAAGTATCACGAGTGTGCGGGTATCGTTTGTTTCGGGCTCGGGTCGGGTTGGGAAAAGTCGAGTGAGAGAGGCGGGGCTCCCGAAAGTACATAAGACAGATATCCTAATTACTTCCACCTTACGATTATAGCGTAACTTCATTTAATCATTTTACATGTTGTAATATTATTTAACGTGGTCGATTAATTGTGTCTGAAGATACTTTCGGGACACGAAGGTCTTTCAGGACCTGAACATTTTTCGGAACCCAACATCTGTCGGGATCCCGATACGTTTTATACTGTCGGGACCGAATTCGGATATATACCCGCACACCGCTGGTAACTATATGGGAGCTGCAGTAGGAGTCTGAAAGAACCATGTGCAGCTTACGAGCCACAGTTTGGCCACTGTGGTTATATACAGTTAAGAATGTTTAGAATGCAATTTTCATACTTGCAAATCAGTTACTTTCTCTTCGCTTAATTCCAGAGCTCTAGGACATAATTTAGTCATACTGATTCCAACCCCAGGTAAAAGAACTGGTATAATTCCAATTGCAATTAACAATTCTATGGCAACTTTTATGGCATTAAATTGATTAACACTAAATGTTGATTCGTCATTTGATTCTTCACATGTTTTTAAATTTTTCAATGTACATACAATTGCGCGTATGTATTGGTATCTAAAAAGATAAAGCATATTAATGCACATCCCATTTGTGAGTTAAATATAAGCAAAAGTAGACTTTACATAGTCAATAATACCGTTAGTATTTACAATAATGTAATAGGATAGTGACAATAATAGCAGTACATGTAATTATATATATACAGTGGAGTCTGGTTATTGCAACACTGCTTATAACAGCAGACCGCATATTGCATCCGACTTGCTCTCTAAGTTCGGTTCCCATACATATTACTTTATATATATTTTCAGTCTGCTTATAACAACATTTATTTACAGCGATGTAATTTCTCTGTCCCTTGAATGTCGCTATAAACAGACTCCACTGTACATATATTATAAAACAATGTATATGAGAAAGCAAGCAAAGTGAATCTAGCTGTTTTTGTCCTACAATGTGTGTGTAAATTTAGATTTTATATTAAACAAGAAGCACATAGGTACTCAACTGAAATACTGACAGTAATAATCACAGTGTAAGATTGCAAAAATAGTGATACATGCCACCAATATCTCTGAATTAATATTATTGACCAAGTAAAATACACTTATGATGACATACTACCTGACATCAGGGGTCTCATTTTCTTTGTTATGATCATGATCCAGTATAAATTTCTTATCACATTCGGCTAAAGTCTGTAGTGCTTTCTGCAAATTTCGTTGCAATTTGACATCGAAATTTTTAACCTCATCTGCAAAATAATAAACATTAACATTATTTGAAAACAAAATTCTTATTTCGTGCATGTGAGAACGTTCATATACCATTACTAATTATGTCGGTTCTTGTTAAACAATGCAATGTTTCGTGATAGTCCATAACTTGTTTAATCATAAAACGGAATTCAAGCAAATATTACATATCTTTTCTTAAAAAATAATGCTTTCTGTAGACACGTGCACTTTGCACAAAGATGCCAACGGTAACCAGCGGCAACCGGCGGCACTCCGAACGGCACCTTTGATGTTACTCGATGCCTTGTCCCTTTAAATTGGTTGTACAGAGAAGCGGGATTTTTGCAATAACTAAACTCAATGTATCTCTTTACGTCACCTTAGCGGCTAGCAATTAACAGTATATTTGTGTTGTTACCTTCTATGTATTACCAGTAATGGTTTCCTAAGTATTTATATCAATCTTATAAAATTAACAAGTTAGGAAACAATAAATATAATTAAATATATTACGAATACATTACAGAAGTATATAATAAATATAAATATTTGTGTATGTTATTTATATTTATTACAAATAAATATGTTACAAGTACATTACAAAAATATTTGTATTAACACTCTGAAATCTAAACAATTTCACAGCCATTGGCTCAGCATTGCCAATTACCAGATCTCACCAAATCTCACCGCGAGGAGGTTGCTGCGAGTGGAGATCCGTAGAAAAATTGACGGAATTTGGATTCCGTCAATGTCCCTTTACATCATTTTACAAACATATACAGCGTGTAACAAAAATGTTGTCCAACCCGGAAATTATAAGATGAATTAAAATAGACATATTGATTTGAAATCTTTTATTGTTCTAAATAACAGAAACCAGAACAATAATATAAATAAACTTAAGTAAGTTATATAGTTGAATAAACCAAAGTATATTTTAGGTATGTTATATCATTGTTTTATTGCTCTTTAAAAATTACAAGTTTATTAAATAATTGTCGTTGATTATTTGCCTTATCTGTTTTATTTAATCCTACATAATGTAGGCGAATCTTAACGTATTTAATACAAATTGACCGATGTTACTTTCCGACGCTACGAAAATGTCTACCACACTACCGCGTCTTTTACGCACGTTCATCACTCATCGCGTTACTGCGCATGTGCACAGCAGCAGCCAATAGAAATTAGGCACACTTTTACCTCGTCGCCCCTCTCTGAAAGGTATCGTCGCCGCAACGTATGCTCGGTCCCTATATTTCTATGTCCATGCCTCCTGTATACGGTATTATGTAATTCTCGAATTCATCGTTCTTATAACGCAGAGGTCGTTAAAATCACAGGTGTTTTAAGTGGTGCCGGTATTATAGATTCCTATTAGACACCTCGTCTAATGTCATGTGTCTACAGTCGGTAACACGCCGTTTCATAGAAATTATCTAAGATGGCACCAGTCAGCGGAAACTACACCAGAGTCAATGATCGGTGCTTACGATACGACATCTCGTGACTTTCTGTCGCTAAACGTAACGCTGTTTGTTTCAGTTTGTTTCCACGAGTCGTCTTACGTTCGCGAGTGATTGACGTTCGCGGAGTGGTCATGCTTTCCAACGCATACAAGAAGTGCTAGAATCTCCACGATGTAATCGGCGTACAGTGTTCTATATCATCAAATATACTGTCAATAAATCACGGACCGTGGCATATCTACAGTACATGTGTTCTTATAATATCCATCTTACGAAAGATCTATGACCGCTGGATTTGCAGCTATGTTCAACTTTTATATACGATAAGCCCGCGTGGCATAAATTAAGCGTGAAACTGATTGTTTCGTGTCCGCAAGAATTTTACGAATTATTATCGTCCCGTGGCTGGTAGTCGTAATAATTAATACTTATGTACGATAAATGTCAGGACCCTTCGAGGAGCTACATAAGAGGGGGAAGCTGTTACCATTTCAAATTCATGGTTGAAAGGTAAGACACGGTCCCGTGGCTGCGTTAATTACTACTTTCTAATTGGTAATTATTTCCCGTTCGCACAGTACATAATACGGAACTTGCAAAACCAGTATTGTTCGATGATTCGTAGATTTCAATTTGTGAGAATTGCTTGGTGTTAATCATCGACGCATATGTGAAATCAAATTGTATTTATAAGTAATTCTTTCAGTGAATTAAAGAAAACACATGAAAGATATTTATAGACACTTTACGTGTCTAAAAACAATTTGTTGAGACGATTCAACAGCAGAAGCTTTCCTTTTCAGTGTCTAATTTTTTCAAGCATGATTGTATGTAGTATACTGGATGAATACACAACCGTGTCGAAAGTCAGAAACTGTCAAAGTGTGCTTATCAGTCGTCTGATTATTCAGTTTAATGAAATTAGAAATAAAAAAGGGAATTGTTTTCTCGTTGTAAGAACGATGATGTGTACGCTGCATAATACCGCAGCATGTTCTTGAAATAGGACACCAAATGATCGATTACTTTATTCCGATAGACCTTTCGCTGTTCTAATTCGTTTGTACTGAATACGGACACGATGACATGAAATGACAAATTCACATTAACACTAGATCTACCGACGATGAATGCATGTTTGCTTCGATCGGTGGATAAACGTGAAAAACTTGAAAATTTAGAAATTTAGAAATTGACTACTTTCTTCACTTTCATATCGCAATAAAAAGTGCAAAAGATCTGAGAAAATGTATTGTCATAACATTTTAATCGTTGTTGTAAGAGTGTATTGACAAGTCATTTTGACTTGCTTGGTAGTTCTAGTGTTAAGAGATCGATAGTTTTAGGGATTAAGAAATATTAAATTTTTATCGTTGTACACTCTCAGGGTGTGAAATATATAGATTGTACATATTAATAAATTGCATTAAAAAATTCGTGCAACTAACGAAGTTACAACACTTGAAATGAGACCATGCAAGAAGAAAAAATTGAATAAGTCGGCGAATTAATGGGGTTATTTGAGTACCGCATGTATGTATCGCTATTTATTGCTGTATTTACAACATGCAGTATATTTTTTTAGCCAATACGACAATATGTGACGTTAGCAATATTAATATATTGGTTTTTAAGTTTAAGTTACAGTACGTGTAATGATGTAAATATGCTTTCATATAGTTTTTTGGTAGCCATCTAAATGAAACACGTTATATTTCGGTACGTTTCACTCATTGCGATATATTGCCGTCTGATAACCTTTAGTTAAATAAAAGTTGGTTAAATCAGATAATGTTTATGTAATCCTGTATAACAAAGAGACCGAAGTAGGGACACAGACATAATGTATATGTAAGTTTTGTGTATAATTATGCGTTATAATAATGCTGGAATTATTATAATGAATTTATAAAGAATTATATATATAAATTCCTGTGTATAATTATGCGTTATAATAATGCTGGATAATTTATATATCTATACAGTACATGGTTTGTGAAAAGGAATTTTTTTTCAATTTCCGACAGTTTCATAATCAAAGAGTTGGGATTACTGAAAAATGTACTTTCCAGATGAAAGAACGAGTCAAAATAATTAAGAGGCAATAGCAGAAAGAACTGAAAATTATTTTTCAGAAAGCAAAAGCTTCACGGTATCAGTCTTGAATAGCTGATTATCTTTGTCTCCAGGTTATATACCAAAAAAGATAATTCTAATCTTTAAACGCATTCTTCTCGGAACCATGTTTTTTCACGATTGGGTGCACGGTATCTTAAAGACGATTAAATAAATCTACATTATTCCTCAAAATAATGAAAACGTCCAATCTTGGGAGCATGAAACAGGTTATAAATATTAAGTAATCGAGAATATCTACTAAAATTGAAATTTATTGTTTTATTATTTTCTGACCATTTTTAATGAGCTTACATGCTTTTTTTGCATGCATTATTATGCATTATCGCATTATCAACAGAAGGCCTTAGAGTATGGTAAATACATAGCAGGAAAAAACGAAAATTTTATTTAAGAAATAGTAATTTACAGTACCGGGTACACATACATTGTTTCTCCACAGTACAAATTGTCTCGATGCTTATAGACGGTAGTGGAGTTAGCCTCACCTTTTTTTTTTTTGGTTTTTATGATTAATTTAGAAGGTAAATGCACATGATAAAAAGAAAAGAAAAGAAACATCTCGGGGGAGCAGTCCGTGACATTTTAAGCGCCGTGACTATTAAGAAACTTGAGAACACGGTTAAAAAACATTCTTTAAGAACATTTTTGATAACAATAGCGAAATGTTAGCAGCTAATAGTCTAAGCTTTGTTTATACTTACCGTTTTGCTGTAGATTTGATTTTAAAAGAGCCTTGTCTCGATAGTAGGTTTCCTTGTTAAATGTGTATTTAATCAATTTAATGGGTCAAATAAACTGAATTTCTCTGTGTTGAATATTCCATTATGATGAACTGTGTCGAATTTGTTGCTATAAATAACTCATCCCACACGTTCTTCAGATTAGTTGACCTGATTTCTGAAAAACTAATGAACTGATTGTCTTCAAAGTTAAGACGCAATTTATATGTACACGCATCGGTCTGTCGTCCCCGTCACAATTATCAAATGCATTAGTGTTTCTATTCACAGTGGTATTATATTTAAACATCAAATCTCGATGAAAATTTGTTGCCACCAAAAGTTTTTTATTTGAAATACTTCCAACACTTTTCTGCAACGCTTACGAACGAGAACCACTTGAAGTGACGAAAGAAAATTCTTCTTATTGCAACACGCGTGTGTTTTTTTTCTTAATTTCGATGTTCCTCCTTAAAAGTCAAATAACAAACTTCGTCGAAAGTAAACGTTCCGTTACCAATATGAATCTAAGCGCCAGACGTTTCCCATTATTTTTACCTTATAATATAATTAGCCTTGTACCTGATACACCGTGTAACACGTGTTTTCTGGTATTTATGAGATAAACGTGGTCATAGGTGAAAGGGAACGTAACGTCGATAAGTGTTTTCGCGATATTTCGCCGCGCAGCTGTTACGAAATAGCGAAGAATATCTGGGCGCACGACGCAACGTGTAGCGTCGACGATAGCTCGTTTTCAGAACTCGGTGTTTAACACGTTCCGTGGCCAGTGGGCCATCAGTGGTTGACCGTCGATGATTTTCAATGTCAACCAACGTAATACATCACAATAGAGGAAAAACACCAAAGTTGGGGACCCACAATTCGTTTTTTTATGTATAGGAGAGAGTCGTGTAGTACCGACCAGAGCTGGTTTTTGTTTCCACCTTTAATTAGCTGCATTTTACATTCTATAAACAGATGAATATTGCAGTTCTACACTGCTCGAAATTTCCATAAAACCATTGCGGTTTTTAATGAAATCGTACAATACTTCTATAATAATGATTATTTTGTGAGCGATATCGTTTTGGGGTTCATCAAAGAAAACATATTCATTGTCAGCAATATTAGAAACATTATTTATTTGAAGTAAGTATGAAAAAACATAATATAACACAAAATAAAATGCGAAATTTCTATAATGCCACATCTTTTTTTAAATAAATAAACTATAAATGAACAATAGTTTCTTTCTTATCTCTAGATTAGTAGTTAGTACAATTACCATTTCTCTGAATTACTTGAAAAATTCGACTCGGTATTGATAGAATTAAAGTTCGAAGTACTTCTTCATCAATGGATGTCCATGCTTCAGAAACTGCCTTTGATAGGTCCTTGATCGAATTGTATTGTTTACAATTTCCATAAACCTTTCTTGCGGGTATTCCCCATAGATTTTCTATGGGGTTCAGGTCCGGAGAACATGCTGGCCACTTCAAAACTTTAATAATCTTTTGGACTAAACCACTGCTCGGTACGAACTGCAGCATTGTCGTGTTGAAAACTAAAGTTATCATTGTCAATTTCTTCGGTGAATGGTATCAAACTTAATTCCAATAATTCCGTGTATTGATCGGAATTCATTTTAGGAGAAATACGACAAATGGATGTTTTTTTATCGAATGTAAATGCAGCCCACACCATTAACGTACCACCACCAAAATTACGACTTATTGCAATATTTTTCTGTTTTGATAAATCATGCCAGTAGAATTTGTAACCATCCGGTTACTCTATTGTCACACTGGGTCCAATTGTCTCAGAATTTGACTTTGAAGTAAAATATCTTTGAGGCATTATTGAAAATGGTACTACTGGAGCCATGTACATACATAGTAGTAATTTCAGGTATCCTAAAAAACTTTTTTCTGAATTTTGTTTTTTTTTCCAGAATTTTTTAAACATGAAACTTTCAATGTTAATTTTTAACAACGAAAATATATTCTGCAATGTTCAAACTTTTTAAACAATAGCTGATTGAATATTGGCTTGGATTAAATTGACCTAGTGTGACAACTACGTTTAAAAAAGGTGTGACAACGGATGGTTAAAGATAAAATTATTTTTTTAATGTCGTAAGATTCCTTCATTACAATAAATTTCAATGAAAAACATTATCGAATTTAGGAAGAAGTGTCAGAAATAATTGTTTAGACAAAGTGCTCTACATTCGGGCCCTCTTTTTTTTTGCTGATTCAAAGTGCCCGATATAAATAATTATTTACGTAGACTATTCAAAACAGGTTTTGCTTATGCAAACAAATAGAATTGTTTATTTACACACAGGTATGTTTTAGAACATAAAAAAATATTAGCAGCCAGAAAAGGGAATTATTTTGGAAACGTGTTATTTATCATTACCTCTAAGGAACAGTTTTCAAAATCCATCTCTATTTCTAGAAATTAATCGTGAGATACGAATACCTACTTACCAATTTAGAAGTCAAGTTACACCGAAAACCCCCGTCACTCGCTTATTAGTCAATAACAATTGAATGACCCGGCGTTTTTCATTGTTTCGTGACGTTATTCTAAAATAGTTATTCCACTCATCGTTCGTTTACATTTACGTCATTTTCTTGACAAAAT